TCCTTTTTTTGCTGAAACAATTTTTATATCTGAACAATGATTTGCTGCAGCAGCCGGGTAGGTGTAGGACGTAATGATTTAGTAGGCATTCAATAATGTTTTTTCCTTTTGTCGGAGATCCGATATTTGAATATCTCAAAAACCATTTACTTTTGTATAATGTATATTATAGATTTATTCACTTCTTACTGCCTTCCCTACCAGTGGTATGAATCGGATTACCAGTAACCCTGTATATAAGTGCAGCGTGTGAATCGCTAAACTCAACTATACTGGGTTTGATGAAGTTATGTCATTGTCAGTTACATGAAAAATAATGAAGGGGGCTGGGCCCTTGATACTTTTTTTGGGTACGATTTCCATTGGTACCTTGGTGAAGCTCTTTCAGCAGAGGTTGGTGATATCATAATCTCTGAGACTTCAACTGAGAAAGTATCAGGTATATCTTTCGATCATGCCAAGATTTTTCAATAATCAAATAATATACTTACTAACAGGTACTGATGGCAACTCTGGAGAATCATCTTCAGACAGCGAGAGCGAAGATGACTCTGAAGATAATGATAGAGAGGACGACGTATAATTTCATATTCAAATAATTTTTTTTTTATGTGAAAAACAAAAATGTAGATTGAAGTTCAGGACCCCATACTATACCCAAAACATTCAACAAACTAAATAAACATTCTTTATATATTTTTCAGACGCCAGTATTATGATAAGCAGACCCATAAGCCCCAGGAAGAATTTCAATTCGATTGATTGTGAGTTTCGATCATGAGCAATAATCCACCCCTCTTCTCCCTGTACGATCCCTCTTGATCATCTTGCGAGTATCTTGTTGTCAATTTTTTTCATCATCTTTTCAAAGCCCTGTTTTTCAAATTAAAATCACACAAAAAAATTTCTTGGTACTAAACCTCTCACACATGTAATTTTGTTGAGCTGTAAATTTCTGATGGATAAATACAAATATATCTGCAATTTGCGTCTTCGAATATCCTCATCACTACCAGGAAGATAATCTTTGACCCGGTTTCATGTGAAGTGAGATTATGAGACTTCCCGATTATCTAGTTCGCTTTCGGTGCACCTCTGGCCTGCAGTGCGGGGCGCCGCGCCGGACCGAGGCACGCGCGGGTTTGCCCGATTATTACAACGTATGCTCACATTGAATTCGTATGCAAATAGCATCCAGTCATAAAGAATATCCTAGTTTATCGGTCTAGAGATTTGCATACGAACCTAAATCATCGATTATTTGAAAGATGTCTAGTCAATTGATGTTCGAATAAGTCGAGCCCCCCTCTCCGGAATCGTATGCAAATGTCAGGAAACTGATTAATGAATCAGAATTCATTGTTTCGCCAAAGGGCATACATTCTTCGATCATCGACTATAAAATTGAAAAATTGCCACTTCCGGTTCATATGCCTCCTTTAGGGAGTGACCTAGGCGTATGCAAACCAGCAAGCGCCCCAATTGTCGTGAGATAAAATCATTGCACTTCATTGCCGAGCTTCTTCTTAAACAAAATTATGAACTTTTTTCCAACCGGAAGGTGAGGTCAGGGCCGGGGCAAGGACTGGGTTGCGACTCTCCGAGGCACTCCTTCCTGTTAACGTGGACTAAGTGAGTGGGTCCCTTAAATGGCATACCGACTTAGAACATCGATAAAATCTGTGTCGTGGGCCAACAGTCTATATAGGGGACCAAGAAATAAAACTCTCCGAACGAGCTAGGTAACTAGGACTCGTTCTTGACCAAAAGCTGTTGCGGAGAGGAAACATAGAGGAAAGCGTGAAAAAGGCGACAGTTGCGCTGTACACCTGCAGAAGAACCATTGGCAAACAATGGGGGTTGAGACCCAGCATTGTCCATTGGTTATACACGGCGGTCGTGAGACCCACACTCATGTATGGATCATTAGAATGCTGGCCAGCCCTATGTAAGGAGAGCAACCGCAAAGGGGTGGGAAAGGTACAACGACTAGCTGCCGTTCTCATGACGGGGTGTCCTAGGACAACCCCGACTAAAGCCCTGGAAATGATCCTACATCTGACCCTCTTGGACCTATATGGAAAAGAATGAGCGGCTAGCGCTGCTCTCAGACTTAATGCAGTCTCACCATGGCCTAAGGTAAACTACGGCCACTCCAAAATTCTGAAATAATTCAATCTCACCTTAAATAACACAGACTACACGAAACCCACCCAGATGTTCGACCGCAGTTCTCGATGGACATTCCGTCCAGAGAAAAATCGGCGGCGAACTTAGTAAAGCCGAATGGAACGCTCTTCTATTCTTCTGTAGTCTATGACAGATGGCTCAAAACTATAGGGGAGAGTAGGAATTGAGTGGAGTCTTCTCATAGTCCCCACCCCTCAACCTATCGTTTCGCTTACCAGACTACTGCAGTGTTTTTCAGGCCGAAATGGTAGTTGTAAATGAAACAGCCAATTGGGTACTTCAAACCGGACTCGAGTCTAATGAAATATATATTCTAAGTGACAGTCAAGCTGCAATTAAGTCTCTAAACTCAGTCTACCTGACCTCAATGCCGTTAAGCCTTAGATGACGTGTCGACTAGAGTAAGAGTCAATGTTGTCTGGGTACCCGGCCACAGGGACATAGCAGGCAATTGTATGGTGGACGAGTTAGCAAGAGCTGGTACGACGCTCACAGCTATATCCGCTAATAGTAGACCAGGGGCACCTATCGCTGAACGGAGGTTGCTCCTCCGGAAGGAAGTACTCCGCCTAACCAACCCTAGGTGGCGGGAGGAGCCCTCTTGCACCTCGTCTAGACAGGTGTGGCCGAAGCTCAACCTGAGACGCACTGAAGATATTTTATCTTTTATTGGAAACGCGATTGCGGCCATCACTGGACACTGGCTTGGGAGATGGCATGCTGCACGTATGGGAATCCTACAACGTAATGATTTCTGTAGACCCTGTCGAGACGAGGCGGCCCTAATAACACACAACGTCCTAGGGACGTCCCTATTTGGTACAATTCACGTCCGAATGTCCCGAACCAAAAATAAGTGTCCTTGATGGGACGTCCCATCCCGTACATCTCATGCAATGTCCGAGCAAGGACGTCCAAGGAATGTCCCCGCTGGTACATCATTTCAAATGTCCTAGAAAAAGCATCCCTCAGACGTCCCACGTAGTACATATTGTAGAATGCCCATGCAAGGACGTCCTTGGAATGTACCTGATATGCTATGATTTTGAACGTTCCTTTAGGGACATCCATCGGATGTCCCGAGTTGTACAAATTCTGGCATGACTTCAGATCTAATATAATGTCCCTTCTAGACAACCATGAAATGTCCCGGATGGTACATTCCTTCAAATTTCTCTGCACAGACGCCCTTAATATTTCCAGGATCGTATAACAATCGAAATGTTCTTTAGGGACATCCTTCGATCGAATGTCCCTTAGAGATATCCGTCGGATGTCCCAATTGGTACATGAACTGTACTATTCCAATGTCCTAGAAATAACGTCCTATGGACGTCCCAGTCCGTACTTCCAATATGTTGTCCCTGCGAGGACGTTTACTTACACCTCGCCGACGAATGATTGCTCGTAGGCTATAATAAGTACTCCTCGTCAATGTCCATCACGTAAGTCCATTGGACGTCCGTGGTAAACTTTTTGGGAACCTTCTACGGACCATCAACTCAACTGGATGTCCTAATCAGTTATGCAAGATCTGGTTTTAGAGGGACCCAGAAAAATTCAAATTCAAAAATAATTCGTACGTCCTATGGACATCCAATTGATATCCCTCAGCATTGCTGATAGGTTGTCCTATGGATGTCCTAAGGATGTCCTCTGTAGTGCTTGATGAGGAATACTGTAGGATTTAGGTATTCGATAGTTGTCCCAGGGACATCCCTCAAGGACGTCCCTAGTTGGTCCTCAAGTGGGACATTTGTACGTCCCACAGACGTCCAATGGACATCCACGGTACCAAATTCGAACGTCCTATGGACGTCCTGAATGTCCCGACAGGACGTCCTAAGGATATCCATGGGACATAAGTGTGTTATTAGGGGGAGGAGGAAGAGACGATGGTCCACTTACTCTGTCATTGCCCTGCCCAGGAAAATATCTTCTGCTCTCGGGCAGCCCTATTTTGACAACCCATTCGATCTTATTCAGTTGGTTGGTATCAAAAGCCTTATAGCCTCATGCTGTTCATTTACAGCAGCTACTGGTTCCCACGGTAGTGGTGTGGGTGGTACCCACCCCATACGGCATCACAAAAGGCCTCTGGCCTACGTGGGTTCCACCCCAGACCACCGTGTTAACCTAACCTTCACCTAACCTGACTACCAAAATATGATCCTTCAAACACTTTCACATGAAAATGGTGTTCTTGTTGCCATTTTCGAGAGAATTGTCATTTTTCATTTTGATGATGTCCGAAAAAATTCACAATGATTTTGAGCGTCTGTTCTTATGATAAAGAAATTAGAAATTGATAGGTAATTGAAATTCTACAATTCCAGGTAGTTCTGGTTCATCAGAGTTCATCGTGATATTGATTGTTGAGAAAATATCCGCAAATGCAAAATGATTGAATTTCACCAACCTCACTAGGTGAACTTTTATGGACAACAAAATGAAAAATCATCCTTTTCTCGAAAACGGTTCGTTTTACATAATTCTAACAAGAATTACCTATTTTACGTAAAAGGGCTTTCGCACCTCTCTTTATATTAAATCATGTATTCCATACTGTACCACGAATCGATTTGTAGGATCGAATCACCTTCATATGTACAAAATTTCGTGATTCTAGGATCAATGATAACAAAGATAATTGAAGAAAACTGCAATTGGGGACCAACCCTCAAAGGGCTCTAGCCGATAGGCTCTAGCGCTCTTATTGGAAGTATTTTCGGTCACATGTTGATAGGAAAATATCCGGAGTATACGAACGTTATTCTGGGACAGCCTGTATAGATATTGATAAATTTCAGGAGCAAGCATTGTGGTCATACCTCCAAGAAATTTCGAACTCGCAGAAATGGAAAGAACTCTCAAGCAATTCACATCGGACACATACATCAGTAAAGTGCGAAATGATAGCGGAAATGAATTTGTGCAAATCATATTTGCTGAAAAAGAATTCACCGGTAACAGTTTGGACGAAGCTAAGCAATTATATGAACAAATAAAATTAGGTGAGTAGATACTTAATTTAATATTCAGGATGGCAGACAAAAAACGCACAAGCCATATAGCTCGTCGATATATTTTTTGTCCGATTTTGATGAACAGAAAACTCAATATATTGTTGAATTTCTTTAAATTTTTGGAAATTTATCTCCACTGTCGAGTTAAGTTTCCTTCTAGGTTCTCTGATAGGCATATTTTCAAACGTAGGTGGTGACATTTTGGGGCAAATAATCTGATTTATTCTCACTTCATATCGTCATCTGGTTATGACGAGGACTTTATGTGAGTCTACATTTTGATTTACATGTCCGATTTTGATGAACAGAAAACCTAATAAAATGTTGTTGTTCTTTAAATTTTTGGGAATTCCTCTCCTTGTATCTACAACTAACGATATTAGTACAACTGTTTCAATATACTTGTAGAGAAAACAATAAATCAGATGCTTCGCGCTAAAGTGCCACTGTGCTTAAAATTTCATTTTCAGAAACCTAAGAGAGAAATCCAATCGGAAAATTTGTCAAACAAGGTGTCCCTCACTGTCGAGTTAATTTTCCTCTTAGGTTCTCTGATATTCATATTTTCAAACGTAGGTAGTGACATTTTGGGGCAAATAATCTGATTTATTCTCACTACATATCGTAATCTGGTTTTGATGATGACTTTATGTGAGTCTACATTTTGATTCAAATGTCCGATTTTGATGAACAGAAAACCTAATAAAATGTTGATGTTCTTTAAATTTTTGGGAATTCCTCTCCTTGTATCTATAACTAACGATATTAGTACAACTACTTCAAAATACTTGTAGTAAGATCAAATCAGATGTTTTGCGCTAAAGTGTATCACTGTTCTTGAAATTCCACTTTCAGAAACCTAAGAGAGGAATCCAATCGAAACATTTGTCAAACTAGGTGTGCCTCAATGTCGAGTTGATTTTTCTTTTAGGTTCTCTGATAGGCATATTTTCAAACGTAGGTAGTGACATTTTGGGGCAAATAATATGATTTATTCCCATTACATATCGTCATCTGGTTTTGATGATGACTTTATGTGAGTCTGCATTTTGATCAAAATATCCGATTTTGGTGAACAGAAAACCTAATAAAATGATGATGTTCTTTAAATGTTTGGGAACTCGTCTCTTTGTATCTATAACTAATGATATTAGTACAACTATACTTTGATATACTTGTATATAGTAAGAACAACTCAGATGTTTTGCGCTAAAGTGTCACTGCGCTTAAAATTCCACTTTGATTGATTGTCTTTATTACCCCAAGAAACATAGTTGTTTATAATAGGGATACATAAACAATATACATAATGTTATACATACAATTATGAAATCATAATAAGATATAACAAGTGGAAAAAAAATGCAAATAATCATGCAATATCAACCTTGTCTTTCATAAGTAGGCATTCAAATAAGAAATGGAATTATCAAAGTCTCTGAAGCAGATATTTTTTCAAGTTGATTTTATATCTAGTTGCTTCCTGTATATTCCTCAATTGACTTGGTAATGAGTTTCATAGAATGATTCCTGTGTGAAAAATGGATTGTTTGCCGATATTTGACTTAAACGTATTTGCTATTAGTGAATTTGATTGTCTTGTTCCATGATTATGTAATGAATTGAGAGAAATCCAATTGGAAGATTTGTCAAACAAGGCGTCCCCACTGTCGAGTCAATATTTCTTTTAGGTTCTCTGATAGGTATATTTTCAAACTTAGGTAGTTCAATTTTTGGGCAAATAATCTGATTTATGTGAGTCTACATTTTGATTCATCTTCAACGACTCGGACATCAATTTTATCGTACAGGGTCATTCCGTATATTTAAACAGCTTCTACAGAGTCAATCATTGAAGATAGAGAAAAACTTTGAATGCAAAAGTTGTATGGTTTGTTCTGAACCTTCAGGAAATTATACCAGATGAAACAAATGAATATCGCTGATATATGAAATGGGTAGTATGGGTACCAACTTCGTTATTTTCAATGGAACACCCTATATATTTTTCGAAAAAATTCAAGATCTTTTCTTCCTGATTCCAAAAATATATTGGTCATTGATATTTGGTTCAGCCGTTTTCGAGATATTCGAGGTTGAACATTTTAGATTTAGTTTTGATTTGATTTCACCAAATCGCAATTGCCATGAAGAAAAAACAACACATACGCAAGTTGTCATCAATAAAACGTTCTGTCATATGTTCATTGCATAGAATTTCGGAAGAAATATGGGTTTCAGTGAAGATGAAAAGTTTGAAATGATTCGTTTATTCTACAAAAATAATAATAATGCAGTGGAAGCTCGAGCGGAGTATCAACGCATTCATCCTGGAATGCCAGTTCCTTCCAGAAGTACGTTTTATTTCACTGCGAGGAGTATGAGAGAACGAAAAAATCTTCAAAGAAAAAAACGCACTGTCATTGCTGATGAAGATGGAGAATTGGGAATATTGCTTTATTTCCAAGGTAGAACAAACATTGAATTACTTATGAAGTTAATATTTGTGTTCATGAAAAATATAATTAATTTCAGAAAATCCCACTTATTCCACTACGGATGCATCTAATCATATTGGCAAAAGTACTATAAAAATTCTAATTGTCCTACATAAACACGGATATCACCCATTTAAAATCATGCCAGTGCAAAAGCTTACAGACAATCATGAATTTGCAAGACAAACATATTGCACAGAAATGATGCTGAGAAAAGACGAGGATAATAGGATTTTTTTGAGATGGTCTTATGGACTGACGAGGCATCCTTTACCACCGCTGGTGTTTATAATCGAAAAAACACCCATATTTGGTCAACTCATCCACATGGATACGAAGAGATTCAGCACCAGGGTCGCAAATCCCTCAATGTCTGGTTCGGTATTTTGAAAAACCAAGTGATTGGACCAATTTTCTTTGAGGGTTCTTTAGCAGGAGATAGATTTACAGTTTTTAAACAATGAAATTGAAGATCTGTTGGAAAACCTCCCACTCAGGCAGTATAATGAATTGATCTGGCATCAGGATGACGCGCTACCTCATCAAGTTATGCCCGTACGGCATCACTTGAATGATCGTTATCAAACGTGGATCGGAAAATTTGGAACAGTGGAATGGCCGCCGAACAGTCCACATTTAACACCTTCAGATAACTTCCTATGGGGCTATTTGAAGAATGAAGTGTATAAGTAAAGAAGTAGAGATTTGGCTGATTTGAGAGGAAGAATTTTGGAATGCATTAACATATTGAACAATCATCACTCCAACTTCATTTGCAATTCGATAAATAAATTGGATAAAGACTACAGAAAATGTATACAAAACAACGGTGGTCACATCGAACATCTGTGAAGTTGCATCTCCTTCGGTTATAAAAGTGCGTTTTTTTTTCTTCCATGGCAGTTGCGATTTGGTAAAATCTAAAATGTTCAACCTCAAATATCTCGAAAACGGCTCAACCAAATATCAATGATCAATATATTTTTGGAATCAGGAAGAAAAGATCTCGAATTTTTTCGAAAAATATATAGGGTGTTCCATTGAAAATAACGAAGTTGGTACCCATTTCTTATATCAGCGATATTCATTTGTTTCATCTGGTATAATTTTCTGGAGGTTCAGAACAAACCCTACAACTTTTGCATTCGAAGTTTTTCCCTATCTCAATGATGAACCCTGCAGAAGCTGTTTAAATATACGGAATGACCCTGTACAGTGCTTTCGTAAAGCAGGTGCGTCATTTCAGTGTATACTAGGGGGGGCGAGGCAAGGAACAGAGAACATTTGAGCATGTAATAAAATGCACCACAGGCGATTTTCTTTCGAGTTCAAGGTCAAATGCCTTCAAATTGCGAAATATAATTTTTCCAGAATGGCAACATCATTATATCACATATCACATTTTATTCAAATTCATTTTTCATTTTGTTATATTCGATATAACATTTAAGAACAATATATGCATGACAATTGGAAGAGCATTAAATATTTATTTTTTCAGATTTTTTTATATTTTCTCCTCTCGTTTCTTTGAATGAAAATCTGAATCATTTCAATACCCATAAGTGTGATGAGGATAAAGTCTCACTGTTTGTTAGTGACAGATGTCTCCAAGTTTTATGGAAGTAACATATTTTGAACGCAGGGACATTTTTGTTTCATTATATTTTTTATTTTTAGAAGCTTGAAGAGGAAATCTTCAAGAATTCAGGCAGATATTGAGAATATAGGAACTTCAATTGAATACGAATGAATCGAAAAATATCTGAATGAGGTTGAAGTGAATTAAATTATTGGTTGAGTATTGTTGAATGATTTTGATCAAGCAAGGAACACTGACTCATTTCTCAATTTTGCAAAATCATTCAGAGATTCTCCCTAATTCATTTCAATATTTTCATATCATTCATTCCATGCAGAAACTATCAGTCTATTGTCCGTGGGCTAGATAAAAAAATCTGTTAATAGCGCTTCTCGATATTTTCAAATTGCCGAAGGCGCCAGTTTTTATATTAATTCAGAAATTCTGACATTTACTTCCCTGATTTTGTATATTGTATTGTACCGTTTTGTGTCATTGTTACAGGAAGATTCATCGTAAAGTTATTTTTCGTAGAAAACCACTGGTGAGGGGGCAATTGCCCCCCTTAAATGACGCCCATGTCGTAAAGTACTAAATATATCAATTTTCAGCCAAACTATCCATTTTTGAGGAATCTCCTGAAACACGCGGGTCGATTTTTATTTTCAAATTGCCACATTTGAGTTATGAGGATCGCGACAATTTTTCAGAACGAAATACTGTACCTATAAAAATCATAGGTGTGATACATATTTGAATTCACTTATTCAACTCAAATGTGGATCACCCTGTATATTCACCTTTTCCTTAAAAATGTGGAAATTTGGAGATAATAATCGGCCTGATTCAGAAGATTCCTCAGATATGGATAGTTTGGCTGAAAATTAATGTATTTACCCCAATAACACAATTATGTTCAATGGATATCCTAGGTACGTCCTGTCTGGACAGTCATGACGTCCATAGGACGTTCGAATTTGGTACCGTAGACGTCCATCGGACGTCTGTGGGACGCACAAATGTCCCACTTGAGGACCAACTAGGGACGTCCTTGAGGGGTGTCCCTGGGACATCTATCGAATACCTGAATCCTACAGTATTCCTCACCAAGCACTACGGAGGACATCCTTAGAACATCCGTAAGATAACCTATCAGCAATGCTGAGGGATATCAAATGGATGTCTATAGGATGTCCCAGGGACATACGAATTATTCTTGAATTCGAATTTTTCCCCCTCTAGGATCAGATCTCGCATAACTGATAAGGACATCCAGTTGAGTGGATGTTAAGTAAAAGGTTCCCAATAGATCCTGAGAAAGTTTCCCAAGGATAACAAATGGATTACGTGAAGTACATTGACGAGGAGTATTTATAGCCTGCGAGCAATCATTCGTCGGTGAGTTTGTAAGTCAACGTCCTCGCAGGGACAACATATTGAAAGTACCGACTGGGACGTCCGTAGGACGTTATTTCAAAGACATTGGATAAGTACAGTTCATGTACCAATTTTGACATCCGACGGATATCCCTCAGGGACATTTCGATTGTTGTACGATCCTGGAAATATCAAGGGCGTCTGTGCCGAGATATTTGAATGAATGTACTATCAGGGACATTTCATGGTTGTCTAGAAGCAACATCATATAAGATCTGAGGTCATGTCAGAATATGTACTACCTGTAACATCCGATGGATGTCCCTAAAGGAACGTTTAAAATCATATCCCATCTACATTCTACAATATGTACCACGTGGGACGTCTGAGGGATGCTATTTCTAGGACATTTGAAATGATGTACCTGCTGGGACATTCCGTGGATGTCCTTGCTCGAACATTTCATGAGATGTACGGGATGGGATGACGTCCCAAGGACACCTATTTGTGGTCCGGGACATTCGGACTTGAATTGTACCAAATAGGACGTTGTGTGCTATTAGGGTTAGTACCTACTTTACGAAAGCACTGTGTATCATATTCTCAAATGACAAAGAGCTGTGCATTGGATATGGGTCATTGGATTTGGTTCAATGGATCACCGGGTTAATTTTTTTAAATTTTTTTCAGATCATAGTTCCAGCCATGTCACTTTGTATGCTTCAGGGCCATATAATAATAGTGAAGAAAATGTAAATAATGCAGTTTCGGTAGTATTTGGAACATTATGTGGAGTTGGTTTGGTCTTCGTTATCCTATTTGTTATGTATTCTCCCAATGATACAGCGATAATACTGAGAAATAGGTAAGCATGAGAATTGAAAATAGTAGATTGTTTTATTAGGATCAAAAGTGACACTTTGTTTGACAAGCGAATTTTGCATTTGCGAGGCGGAGCGTCTAGCGAAGCTGAGCGAAAGCTAAATTTGCGAGTCAAACAAAGTCACTTCTGATTCGAATGGAACATGCAATTTTTTATGCAACTCAAATAAATATGTGAAGTGACCACCAATGCCATGCCATCATTACTCAAAATATAACACTTATTGATGTTTCTAATTGAATCTGAAAAATAATTGCCAGTTCTTTCCTGTACGAAGGCGAGAGGTGTTTTGGACCGGCTAGTGGTATTAACTCTAATTAGGAGATTTTTGAGCTGTGACACTTTTGTCGCAAGGGTGCGATATGCACATTCAAATTTAATTAACGCATTATTATGTCTGTGCCTATCATAGAGCAAACAAGAACTGAATTATTATATCATTTATCCACATATGATATCAATAATTTCGCAATAAACACAGGAAATACGTATATTTTTCTACTCATATTACTAAAATGGCATTTAGCGTCCGGATATGTACCACGGTGAATAATCGAGTAATCACGGATTGACGATCTGTTTCTTATCCAAAATATTAAACACGTTACCATGCCAACACAATTGCTTAAACACATTACTATGGCAACAGAGTTTCTTAATAGTATATTATGTAACAAGTGTTATAAACGTCCTTTTAGTAACGAGTATTTTAAGCACGAGCGGAGCAGAGCGGAGCGAGTGTTTAATAAACGAGTGTCTAGAAGAGTTTATAAACGCGTTACATACTATGCTTTTTCTACGAACCTCGAAAATTACATTAAAATACCTGCTATTCCTGCTTACCTACGAAATAATTCGAATGGAATGGGAATTGACAACATAATACATGCAATTGCATGCAACCAGTGAGACACGTATAAGGGATATTGGTTGTAGATGTGTCCAGTCCATTGATTACTAACCTTTGTTTCACGTTTATTTTCATGCTTATCGCAGAATTAATAAATTGTTCTCAAAGATGGATGCTTCATTTTTACACTTCTTGGAGATATGCAAGTACCAGAACATTCTCTTCGATTTCACTTTCGTCTACATTTCGCATATATTTTTAATGAAGAATTATGATACAAACGAATATCGTTTGAATAATTCTGATACAAAATATGAAAATTACAGTTGACAGTTAATACAATTGACAGGCCAGACATGTCTCAAATTACTGAAGCTGTGTTTAATGAACTGCGTTGCCATGGTAATGTGTTTAAGAAATCGTGTTGCCATGGTAACATGTTTAATATTTGGAATAAATCACAGATCGACAATCCGTGATTAATCGATCATTTAGCGTGGTACATATCCGTACGATAAATGCCATTTTAGTTATGTGAGTAGAAAAACAAATATCCAGTAATGTCCGACCAGTCAGTTTTAGGAACTGTCAACTGTCATTTTCGAATTTTGTTGCGATCATAATTATTCAAACAATATCTGTTTGTATCAGAATTCTCCATTAAAAATGTATGAGAAATGAATGAACGAAAGTGAAATCGAAGTGGATGTTTTAGATAGGTACTCGCATATTTCCAAGAACTCTAGTTAAAAATGAAGCTCTCATCTATGTGGGCAATTCATTTTTTGTTAAGCATGACAATGAACGTAAAGCACAATATTGATGTGAGCAAAATTTTGCAATCAGAATATGGATACGTCCCTGAGAAATCGAAAACTTTGAGACCTAATCGAATCAAAGAGTTTTTATCTACTACGTCATATGAAATCTTATTCACAAAGGGTCGATAAACGAGCCATTTCAATAGAAATGTATCTGTTACCGTGAAAGTCCGAAAGCTGGTGAATGTCAACATTCACAAGTCACTTGTCGTATGTCCGATATATTCATCAAATATCATTATTTCTAACTTCCACCGGCGAATGTCAACATTCATCATATACACATATGGTGTGTATGTTCGAAAGAATTTTTTATCAAAAGAATACAAAATAAAACTCTATAGATTATTATTTATTTTGATTAAATCATGGAAGAAGTTTTCAAATGAACATAAAGAAGTTGTTGAACTTGGGACAAACACAACAAACATAATATATATTAATATAAAAATAAAATGCGTTTTATTTCTTGAACTAAAATGTAAAAAACAAAGTAAATGTATGGCAACCTTATTTATTGTAACAACTTAAGCTACCATGACACTTTGAATTACACAAGAGGCTCTAATTTTTACAGCTACATTCAGACGTGGAACACTTCTTTCTGCAATTACAGCGAGCAGAGATTATACACTTCCCCAGCGAGTATAGCCTTGCCCTCCTCTTTTTGAATTAGCAGAAGCTTCTTCTCTTAACGAAATTTCTTGAGCTGAAATCTCATCCATGGAAATTAACTTTTCTTTGCAAATTGCGAATTGATTACGGGTGCAAAGCTACTTCAAGGTGCCATTTTTGTTTGCTATTTACTGCAGTAGCAATCGAGTACAAATTATAATACCACTATCAATCAAACCTTGTGTAAGACTGGCGACAAGCTCACACGAAAGCGAAGGGAAGCGAAGAAACCACACAAAAAACTGTTAGGACCCGTCGTTTCCGACATCGACCAAAGCTTATATGTGTTTGTCGACATATACCGGTGAAGGACCGAATTTATATTAAAACTAATAATTGTTCGGTCTTTCACCAATACATTTGTTTTATGTCGACATTAACCGGTATGTGTCAACAATCACTAATTTCGGCCTTTCACGGTAACCATATCTATCCTATAGACTGGACGCACATCTACAACCCCTAATAACACACCTATGTCCCATGGACATCCTTAGGACGTCCTGTCGGGACATTCAGGACGTCCATAGGACGTTCGAATTTGGTACCGTGGACGTCCGTTGGACGTCTGTGGGACGCACAAATGTCCCACTTGAGGACCAACTAGGGACGTCCTTGAGGAATGTCCCTGGGACAATAATCGAATACCTAATTCCTACAGTATTCCTCATCAAGCACTACAGAGGACATCCTTAGGACATCCATAGGACAACCTATCAGCAACGCTGAGGGATATCAATTGGATGTCCATAGGATGTCCCAGGAACGTACGAATTATTCTTGAATTTGAATTTTTCTGGGTCCCTCTAGGACCAGATCTTGCATAACTGATTAGGATATCCAGTTGAGTTGATGGTCCGTAGAAGGTCCCCAAAAAGTGTCCCAAGGATGTCCAATGGACTTACGTGAAGGACATTGACGAGGAGTACTTATAGCCTACGAGCAATCATTCGTCGGCGAGGTGTTAATTAACGTCCTCGCAGGGACAACATATTGAAAGTACCGACTGGGACGTCCATTGGACGTTATTTCTAGGACATTGGAAGAGTACAGTTCATGTACCAATTGGGACATCCGACGGATATCCCTAAGAGACATTCGTAGGATGTCCCTAAGAGACATTTCGATTGTTATACGATCCTGGAAATATTAAGGGCGTCTGTGCAGAGATATTTGAAGGAATGTACCATCAGAGACATTCCATGGTTGTCTAGAAGGGACATTATATAAGATCTGAAGGCATGCCAGAATATGTACTACTCGGGACATCCGATGGATGTCCCCTAATATCATATCCCACCAGGGACATGCCAAGGACGTCTTTGCATGGACATTCTACAATATATACCACGTGGGACGTCTAAAGGGATGCTATTCCTAGGACATTTGAAATGATGTACCAGCTGGGACATTCCGTAGACGTCCTTGCTCGGACATTGCATGAGATGTACGGGATGGGACGTCCCAAGGACACTTATTTTTGGTTCGGGACATTCGGACGTGAATTGTATCAAATAGGGACGTCCCTAGGACGTTGTGTGCTATTAGGGACTAATATAACTCATACGTGTCTCGTTGGTTGCATTCAGTTGCATAGTATTATGTATTATGTTCTCAATTCCCATTCCCTTCGAATTATTTTGTAGGTTAGCAGATAGGTTATATCAACACTCACTCCGCTCTGCAGCACTCGTGTTCAAAATACTCGTTACTAAAATGACGTTTATAACACTTGTAACATAATTTCCCAGGTAGCACAGGTCAGTCGACTTCGAGGGACCTAAAAATATTTTCTACAGAATGTGCAATAAAATCTGTATCTGTTGTATTTAGTTTCAAATAATTAATAATTGATTTGTACATACTGTATATTTTGAAAAATCTGACTACATCAAGTGACTGTATAAAAAAAAAAAATATAATAATAAATAAGACTGTCAGACAGACAATTATTAAAAAATAAAGAAAATAAGTAATTTGTTCTTCAGAGCCGAATATTAATTAGGACGATTACAGGTAAACTTCATCAATGGTTCTTCAGAGCCGAATATTAATTAGGACGATTACAGGTAAACTTCATCAATGGTCCTTCGAGTTATTTAAGAGAACAGGCACTTTGGAGAAGTAATCATGGAATTGAGAGCTAGATCTGAAAATTTGAGACGCAGCAAACGCCTGCAAGAAAAGAATGCTCTTGATGTCATGTCAGAGAGCAAAATAGACAGTCGAGCAGTTGAAAACCCAACATATTCTATTAACTCGAGAAAAAGTCAGAAAACGTCGAAAAGTAGTCAAGCTTCAAGAGTGAGAAGAGCAGAGATAGAGACTGCTATCAAGAAGAAGCAGCTAGAACAAGAGGAATTGAAGAAGGAAAAAGAAATGTTGGATTTAGAATTGGCTCTAAAATTGGCGGAAATAGAAGAAGGAAGCGAAAGCAGTGGGTCTGAGTGGATGCATGAGTCAAGGCAGCCTAACATGGAAAATTGGATCGACGGTAACTCTCCATGGGATTTCAGGCAGGACACAAAAGCATGCGAGGTCAGACAGTTAAATTCAGTTAAAGAACACGAAACGGTAAGAGATATTGTTGTCAATAATAAGCCAGAGAAATCTTCTATTTTCAATAATGACAATAA